CTCAATTTTTTTTTTAACAAATCTGCTTTCACACTTTTTCTGCCTTTTACAGAGAACCAAAAGCAGTCCTTGATATTTTTCAAATCGCCTCTTCTCTGTGATGTAGCTGAAAGAACAACTGAACGTCTGCCTCAGGTAGGAGGAACATTGGAAAAGATGCATGAATCTTGCATAAGTTTTATTTTGTTCTAATTTCCTTTCGAATCCCTAGCGCCGCGTAACGGAGTGAGCTCCCATTACTTGTCCCAGCTTCTGCCAACCTAGCAGTTCGAAAGCATGTAAAAATGCAAGGACCACCTTTGTTGGGAAGGTAACAGCATTCTGTGAGCCTTCGGCGTTTAGTCAGGCCAGCCACATGACCATGGAGATGTCTTCGGAGAGTGCTGGCTCTTCGGCTTTGAAACGGAGCTGAGCTCCGCCCCCTAGAGTCAGGAATGACTAGCACATATGTGCGAGGGGAACCTTTATAAATTTTCTTAAATAAATAAAGTTTATTAAATTTATACGCCTCTTGTCTCAGTATCCAGTGTGATTCTGGGTGGCTTAGAATTGGATAAAAGCATAAATATAAAACCATTAAAATTAACAATAATTAAAATGAAGGTTAAAGCCACGTGGCTGGACCATTCGTGGGTGGACTATTGTCTCTTACTCAGTCAACCGCCTCCAGCATAGTGCACCCACATCAGGCCCCAAGCCAACTGGCAGAGCCAGGTTTTCAGGCCTTTCTGAACAGACAAAAAAGTGGAGGGAGATGTCATCTCCAGTGGCAGAATGTTTTTATTTTCATTCATTATATTTATATGCCACCCACTTCACTGACATGCATCTCTGGGCAGCATAAAATCTGCTAAAACAATATGAAAGATTAAAACAACAATAGATACAACATTAAAATTAGCAGAGAAATAGCTAAGGCAGAGAGTTTTATAAAGGAGTGGAGATGGGACCTTCTTTTTAATGCAGTAACCTCCAGGATGACACATCCTCATTCAGGCCCCAGCCAAACAGCATAGATAAGTTTTAAGGAAAGCTAAAAAAGGTGGGGCGCAGTTGTGGGTTCTGGATGGTATGCCCCGGTACGGGTGTACCTGTGGCTGCTGGGAGCAGTAGCCACCGTACTGGAACGGTGCTATGGAGGGCCCACCCGCCCGCTCTTGTTCCTTACCTGTATTTAAGCCAACCGGCACCTGCGTAATACTCCGCCGAGCAGCTGGAGCGTTGCAGGGTGGTGGGTGTGTATCCACGCGCAGCTTGCGTGCCCGTGGTGGACGCCCGGCCCCGGCGCAGCATACCGGTTGCAACGGGATCTGGAACCCACCACTGGCCGGGCGGATTTCATGTTGAGGAGTACCATGTTATAAAGGGCAGGGGTGACAATCAAAGCACTTAGAACTTGGTGAGGAATTTCTAACAAGCTGAGTACCTGGATGCCAACCAAGACCACAGTTTTGCAAAATCTGAGAAATGTCTTCTCGGGAATTGCTCTTTACCGCTCTTGTTCAGAAGCTCAACAGCTTCCTTGGAAACTGAGGAGAACTAGACCTTCAGCTGCATCTCACCCATATTTTGGTTGTCCTCACACAGATCCCTGGAATAGCTCTATTAGTTTTATTAGTCCAAACAAGAACCAGAACAATGAATTCTAGCTCTACTGGCAGCCTCAAAGCTCCAAAGATAAGTTGGTTCCTTCTTAATTTAACGTGGCAACTCTGAAAGAAACAATCCCTTGTTTTTCTCTTCTGAAATTCAGATTTCATTGAGCAGGCCGTTGTCTCCCATATGCAATTACAACTGCTCTTAGCACTTTTATTGTGCGGAGTGTGAGCATGATTGTCCCTAAGTGGATACAGCAGACACTTGGCAAATATCAGATGGGTTGCTCCAATATTACCTTCTGTTCAAATAGAAAGAGTTGGAGCTACTGCTAAGACTATTTTAGTTGGCTTCATTGAAAGTTCTGCAGTAAACCTGATGAAATGTTCTTTACATTGTGTTATCTGCCAAAAGTTGTGAGATCTTATTTTGAATTCTGCAGCAGATGCCCATTTCACTCCTTGCAAATCTCCCTTGGAATGGAGGGAAGAGAAGTCTCAAAATTCTTCTTGGGGGTTGTCTCTTATCGCGGAAATTTGTTTCCTTGCTTAGGATCTTGTGTCTTTTGAGGAAGTGGCTGTGTATTTCTCTGAGGAGGAGTGGTCCCAGCTGGATCCTGACCAAAAAGCTCTTCATGGGGAGGTCATGCTGGAGAATTCCAGGAATCTGGCTTCTCTAGGTAAGCATCTAACTCGCCCAGTGGTCAGTTGCCAATTTTCTGGTTCAGGTGCGCATGCGCACAAGCGTCCAGGTGGGTGGGCGGAGCCTTCTGCCGCCACTACTACTGGTTCGCCTGATCCGGGCCAAACCGGAAACAACCCACCTGTGAACTCACCACAGAACAAGAGTTACACTAATATCAAAGAAATGGTGGAATAAAATTATTAAAGAAATCACTAAAGGAGGGACTAGGTAAAATGCAAATAACAAAAATTAAAATAATGTCGAAAAAACAGTGAAGTATCACTGTTTTATCCTGTGTTGGATTGTCCAGCAGTGAGTAGCCCATGGTGGATTGCCCCATCCCTGAGAAGCATGACAAGGAATAACAGAATTGGAAGGGATCTTGGGGATGTAGTCCGAACCCCTGCTCAAGCAAGTGATATCATTTCAGACAAGTGGCAGTCAGTCTTTTTTTAAAGCCTCCAGTGATTGAGCACACCCAGCTTCTTAAGCCAAGGCATTCTACTGGTTAATTGTTTTATTGCCCCCAAGAATCTGGCTTCTCATTTACCAACCTCAGAAGGATGGAAGGCTGAGTCAACCTTGAGCCAATGATGGCAGTCAGCAGAAGTAACCCTGCAGTACTGCATTCTTACCACTGTGC